TTCATCTTTTCTCTCTTTTTTTTTTCAATTTTTCCTTTCCTGTTCTACCTACATTGCAGTGTCCGTATAATCTGTAAAACTCCCTACATAATTCTAATAAAGCTATTTATATTCATAAAACAAGCGGAACACTATGGCGATAGCTAGACAGGACACTGTTTAAAAAAAAGAAAAAGAAAAAAAAAGAAAATGATGGTACCCTTAGTAAAGAAAAGGCTAAATTAAGGTGTGTTTGCTATAGTGAATGACATCCTTGAAACCTGAGACAACTGGAACTGTTTGCTCATGAGAGTGGGCCAGAAGTCTCATTGACAGTAACAGGAACCCTTTCAATTTATTGATTGCCACTAAAGAGTAAATTATTGGTTCTATGTGTATGTTTGCCCATGGAAAAGTCCCCAAAAGGATGGTGTGACAAAACTTGTATGTGTTTATTTCAAACATAACATTTTGCTTTTAAATAATTACTTCAACTACTTAAATAGAAATATATGCAAACCCACCTTCAAATATTTGAGAACATACTTACATTCATTGTTGAATTCTTATTTCACTTAGCATACCAGGTCCATAAGTACTAAACATGGATATCATATAAATGGGCTAGAGAGAACCTGTCTGACAACATGAAATAAACTAAAAGATCCCAAAAAGTACCTACATTTTTGATCTAAGAACAGATAAGTGACACAAACATGTTCCAATTCATCAAATGTGATTATAAGGGAGTTACTCAGATTAGCTCCAGTTTTATAAATACAGGTTACAATATGATTTTATTTGGCATTTATTTTGATTTATTTTACTTACTAACTTCCAGGCAACATATTTATGCTGTTTTTTATTTGAAATGGAAAGAATTTAATGCCTAAGAATTAAATGCTCACATCAAAAGATTACTTTATATTCAGTTATTGTTCATTCCAGTTTTGGACAATCATCAATACTTTTAACTGAGGGGGGTACTCGTGATAAGGCAAAATACCCAAAGGGGTTCACAAGCGGAAAAAGTTTGGGAAACACTGCTTCAGAGGAACACACAAGACATAATCATAGAAAAGACACTCACTATTTTCTGTTTTTATTTCTTGTTATAGTGTTTTGCCTGAATAGTACAATAAACACAACAACAACAACAAATTGTCTTTTTTTCAATAAATTTTTGACTGAAACTTAAGTTTAATCCAAAGAAAAAGGGCTCTGTCGCCCCCTGCTGTAAAAAAAAAAAAATGCAAATATTGAGAGGACAAAACCGTTTCCCTCTTCATTTTTCAAATATAGGAATTGACTTAAAATGAGTGATAGATTATCTCCACAGCAATAAATAAATAAATTCCCTCTCTGATGAGGGAAGAGGAATAACTAATTTGCTTTTAAAATAGATTATATTGCACATTTTTTTAGACAAAATGACACAAATTACACATTTAACAGCAAACACCTCCTTTACAAATTGTTTTTCGTTTATCAACAAAACACCAAATGCCATAAAGTTCAAACCACATAAGGCAGGTTTCAGCATTGGGGTATGGTGCACATTCAGGTAAAAGCAGCAAAGGTGAATAATGCAAAATTGATTTTAATCACTGCAGAAGATACAGGAGGCTAAATAAATCTTTACATCAAACAAGTTCAAACAGGATATTTTTGCACGCGTTTTCATGATAATTCAATGTTTTAAAACAAACATCTACATTAATCTTTTAGCAACTTGTCACTCTAACAAACAACAGCAACAAAAAAAAAAAGAAAAACAATATCACACACAGAAAAGAACCAAGATAAAAGGCACTGGTTTACACTTTATGAAGTAGAATTGCACTAATCCCCTAATATACATAAAACTATGATTTACAAAAATAGTCAGATTTATCTTTTCTTTAATTTATTTCTAAATAAATACTTATTAGAATTGCTGGATCTTTAAGTCTTTCTTTGTCTAAATACATTTATTTGTTGTATTTCTATCGTATTTTGTCTCTCAATTGGAACATGTACATGTTGTCCAGAGATGTCAGTAAAAATATAAATATTTTCAGAAAAATACATCATTTTGTTTTATCAGGCACGTTTCCAATTGTAAATTACATTTCTTATAAAACAACTGCTGTAGTCAATGAGGCTGTTAATACATACTCAATAAGGTTATACACCCCAAATTATTATTTCCAGGCCAGTTTTGATTCTACAATAAAATAAAAGGAATATTATATTTTATTTTTTTAGCAAAATAACAAACTTTTGTGATTTTTTAGAAATGTATTTCCAAATGTATTTGTTTGCATAACATATTTTTGCTCTCTTTGCTGCAAATTGGAAACATTTGAGTTTCTGAATTATTGTTAATTTACAACCTGGCATTTAAAACTTTTTTTTTTTTTGGTAAATTGACTCGTTGCTTTAGGACATACATTTGAAACATATATGATGATAAACATTTGTTGGCTACTCTAAAGTGCTGGTAAAATTATTAACATTTTTTGGTTAATGTAACGATACATAACTAAAAGTGCATTGATTAGATATTTATCCATTTATATATATATAAAACTTATCATGCAGCACATAATTAGTTCCTTCTGTCTCCTGAGTGTCTGAAATGCTACAATTCTGCTATTTAAAGGAAGACATCTCTTTGTCTTTCATTCCTTTCCTCTCCGGGACCTTTTGAGCAATCCCATAGGGCACGTGGCATGCCACCGTTCCCATTTCTGCTGCCCCCTCTACATGAAATATCTGGTCATCAAAGAAGATATGAGGCCTTATCTTCTCCAAGATGGGACCCTTAGGTGCACCAGCAAGAAACAAAGCCTCGTCAATCTCTAGACCCCACGACCGCAAAGTTTTCAGGGCTCTTGCACCCGAACTGGCTGCACTGCGAGCTGTTACCAGGTAGGTCCTAATGGGGCAGTCCATGCGCTGGCCTTTGGCATAAAACTTCTTCTGGAGCCTTCCTAACACTTCAAGGAAACCTTTCAGTGGACCCTGTGGAAAGAATGCAAAACAACAGTTGGGTTTTTAGCAGATAAATCTAAATATTTGGGTTAAATGCTGAATGTTAAAGAGAGACAATTGTACCTATTACACACTGTTCAGACTGGAATGAAATATAACCACTATGATAAAAATGAACCACAGTCTTGATGCTCTCTGCTGGATCATTAATCTCTAGACCCAATGGTTTAGGATGGAGCCAGAGATTTCTGCAACTGTTTTGAGCATGCACAATATTTCTTGGGGCGCTTCCAGTGCTCTGATTGCAAAGAAGGATGTTGAATGATCAGAAGGTGTAACTTTCTCAAACTGCTGTCAAAGTGAGTCATTAATCTGTTATACATAATATTAATAATTAAAATTTATCCCAGCATTTAATCCATCCCCTTGGGGCTGCCATTGTGCGGCGCCCAGGGAGCCGTTTGGGGGTTAAGGGTTTTGCTTTGGTACCCAGAGTGGAGGCTGAACTGGGTACTTCCAACCTTCTCAGAGCACCAAGCAAACTGCTCTAACCAATAGGCCAACACTCCTCCACACGTATTGAAGACTTGGCATGATAGAAATGACAATGCAGGAAGATGAGGAAAAGCTGAAAGAATTAGCAAACTATATGGTATGTTTTTATGGTGCTTTTTGGCATAATTCTACAATAGGAACAAGAACCAAACCTTCATTTTTCAGTCTAGTTGTAACAATATCAGACTGACCAGTAAAACATAGTTTTCCTCTCTACAGTAAGGGTTAAACTATTGGTACAGCTACAGAAGCTTCTTATAATCATGAAGACATTTTATGTAAGATGACTCGATAATTGCAAAGGTAGTGTTGCAACAGGATAGCCCCAAAAAAAACCTCACAACTTTACAATTATAATTGTAAAGTTGTGATGTTATTCCAACTACCATTAGGTTTTTTTTTTTTATTTGACAATGATTAGGCTGTAGTTTAGGGGTCAATCTAAAGGAGCTTGTCAGACAGTCTAAATCTGGTTGGTTGAACTATTTATTTTTATTGTTCGTGTTTTCAACATGTTATCACTTGACATATCCTAAACAGTGAAATTATACAAAATATTATAGAAAAACATTTTTAATGCCCATTTACAGTATTGTAAATGGCCACTGTTAGTATTGTTTCTTTAGTAATAAGCACCAGTTTAGGAATAAAATTAGATAAACATCAATGCAGCCTTATCATTTAAGCAAACAAATAAAACAGCTTTACGACAATGATAGGTGCCCCGCTTTGTGTACTTTACATGGTCCAGTGGCTTGTTTTCATGTGCCTTCTCATGCTCAAAGAACTTGTCCAGTCCGTGAGCTTTGTAAATCTGCTCTGATTCATCTGAGAAAAGCACAGCGTCTCCATCGAACGCGACGCGGAGCTGAGTTTCCGACACTTCTGCCATCTTCTCCGGGGTAAACATGGTTGCTGCTGCTATTCCTGGTTCATAACACAATTCACAAAGAAACAAATTTACATTCACATAAATTAAATATTTCAATATTTAGAATTCGATTCTGTCAGTGATTAATGCTACATGTCCCAATGCTACCTTGCTCCAGAGCCTCATGAACTTTCACTGGATCAGAAGACAAGTAAAGGTTTGTGTTGTAGGCCTTTAGATAACCTATGGGACTGTTTCCTCCGGTCATACAGAAGCGTTCAATGAACAACTCTGAGAAAGAAAAAGCAATGGGAAAGAATAAAAAAAAAACAATAATAATCAATCAAATCTTAAAAGCATATCTAAGCAAATATCTTATCGCCACTTCAGAGTAATCTACCAATCAGGAAATCTTTGATTTGATTTTGAAAATCGCTTAACCCAACCTGGCTTATAATTTATACATACCTGCTCTTTTTAGCCTTTCAAATGGCCATGCATTTGAAAACTGATGTACCAATCATTGAAAAAAAATAGACTCCTAACACACTTTCTAAAAGCAGCATTAGTTTGTATTAACAGTAAGTCTCTTACTATAACATTTGCAGTCCATATGAAGCAACCAAAGTTTAAACCATTCCTAAAGCTGTGGTTTAATAATGGCTTTAAAACAAATCATAGCTGAAACATTTGTTGAAATCACCCTTTAAACTTAAAGGATTTAATCATCAAGTATGCATTAAAGTGTGTGAACCCTGAGAAAGATCCCATCGTACCCACAATCAGTCTTAGTTCTCCCTGAAGTAAAACACCTCAAACACTCAACTCATTTAAACGTGAGATATTCTGTCAAGATTTGAGGATTTAAAAGGGAGTTTAATGGTGCAGCATTGTGTTCCTCTGGTATTTTTAGATTACATTCAGTTTTCTCCTGTACAGTATATGGACCCATCTTATGTAGTCAGCTGCCAGTCCTCTGACATCACGCCTAGACTTAATTTACAATGTTTTATTTCTATGGGAGGAAAAGAATGTGCAAGGAAATGAAAGCTGCTGCTTTGGTCTATACAACACTCCGTTATTTTACATGTTTGAAGATCTAGAGACTCTTTAAAAAGAGATCTACAGCCCAACATGCAATACAGATTAAGCGGATGATACCCATCTAGGTATATATTGTTATAATCTCAGATTAAAGTGAGAATAATCTCATTCTGAAAGGAAGGGCTGACCTGGGTCAGACCGTGGTTTTTTTAATCTCAGTCACAGATATGTTAGCAAGTTCTTCCTTAATCACTTATCACCCAGTCTACTGAATACAGCTTATCTAGACTGTCTTCCCAAACTTCTGGGGTTTTATGTTTGCTGCTCTGTTTATTTTGGATCTACGCTTACTGATGCAGGCAGAACGAAAGAGCAATAAGTAGTTGGGTTGATTGTACATAATATTTTGACGAAGAGCTACGCAAAGACACGTTAAAGACCAACAAAGAGTTTGTGTAAGACTTTAAGAATAAGTTTTAAAAAAAACTGGAAAGCTTTTGAGAATATAGAGTTTGCTTTTTAAGGATCAAATAATGTTAAAATTGGAGCTGCTTTCATTTGTTTCTATGCTGAAAACAGCTGAAATGGCAACAGAAGGGAGGATTCTGCTTACTTGAGAAAACACACTTAGGAGATTAAAGTGAGTCTTCATCAATTTTTTATTTACCCTGCAGTGGGAAAGGAGGATGGCTTAAGGGATTCCATGAAAAGGGGATCTCTATAGTACAAATGATTAGACCGTTTTTGAGTCATTGCAGAAATTTTAATCTACTTTTTGTTTATATCTTAATTTAAATTTGTCTGTAAGTATTATCATGAATTATTTACTTTTCCTTGAAAGAAATGATACATAATAAATACATTATACAAAAATAGATACGTAAGATTTTCCATCTGTGTTCAATTTAAGATAAAAAGTTCAGTAATAATAAATTAGTGTAAAGTTTAATTCTTTAGATTTTGTTACCATACTAGAATATAGTTGATGATTATGGCTTACAGCTAAATATTATCTTTTTTTTAGTTTTTACACAAATCATTGATGGAAAGAGCAGTAAACATTATTTCTTAATTGATTTTTTTATTGAACAGGAGTGAATGATCAGCCAGTGGCTCTGCTGCTGCTTCGGTATTATGCCTCTCATCTTCCTTTTAGCAATAACCTAGAGATCATCTATTTGGTTTATGTCATATGTGTACTTTTCAAGGCAAATTCAAATTCACACTGTATATTTCCATTTGACTCAAGTTTCAATCAATGTGCTCACATACAGTTCTCTAAGGACCTGTCTCTGAATAGTGGCTCATGCAGGTGATATTTGTACCAAGTTAGTTTATTTTTAAAAACAGGGAGAAAAATGTAAGAAAATCTCAGTATTATAGAATATATCAATGTATCAGCAATTTACGGTGGTGGTTGATGGTATTGATGAGTCTCAGGCCGACATAAGCATGGTTGTTGGTGATGAGCACAACGTCGAAGAGCTCTTCACTTTCTGGATAAAGGTCCCTCAGCTGAGTGTTGACTGCCTCCAGAGCCTGGGAATAAAACCAAACCAGATCCGTCTTTAAATAAAAGGATAATACCAATAAAACAAGGAGGGGATTGATATTAAGGATGCATGCTTGACCCTATACCTCCAGATGCAGAAAATTATCATAAAAAAATATTAGCTACAGAAATTTGGGTTTATTCAACTTTCCTGAATAAAACGCTCTGACCTTGACGAAGGAGAACGCAGGTCCGGGGCTGAAGGGCTCTGATTCATGAGCCACCTGGTACTTAATGTACTCCTCCATGCCCTGCTGCTCGAAGATCTGCTGCTCCTTGTCCATGTTGAAGAGGACTCTGGACGACACAGCAATGGTAATGGAGTCCTCTGGCTTTGGCTGGAAGGCCGGATGTTTAAGACATGTCATTTTAAACTAGAGCTGATATTTTTGAGCAATTAGCTAAAGCTTTAAACTGAGAAAAAGAAAAGTGATAATTAAGGGTTAAGGAAACGAACAGCTGTGACTGAAAGTGAGTGTGATATGAAATGGTTTCCACTGCTGATAATACGACTCACATACCACAGGCTCAAATCTGTTAACTCTTTAAGTGTCTGAGTGGCCACTGTAACCTTTATGTAATCTTGGGTACGTATATACACACACACACACACACACACACACACACACACCCACACACACACACACACACACATATTTATATATCAATACATTGATATATTTATATATCAATACATTGATATATTTATATATCAATGTATTGATATATAAATATGTGTGTATATATTTATATATATTTATATATCAATGTATGTGTGTGTGTGTATATATATATATATAT